CATGTATATCTTTAAAAAATATTGATATATATTATACGCAGCTAATAAATCAAAATTAAAACAATTAGTTTTTGAATTATTATACCTTATTCTTATGTACCTACTAAAGATAATAATCGTTATAATAAGTACTTAATGATTTTATATTAAACATAAAATGAACGTAATATATGTATAGGCAATACTTATAAAAAACAAAAATTCTAATATCTATGTACCTGCTTGTAATTACTATAATTTTCAAATCATCAGCCCTCATATTTGTATCTAAACATATTATAATATACCTACGGTATATTATTTATTATCATTATTAAGGTATATACATATAATTCTCTCTATAGTATTAGTATAGTTCAGAAACTAAGCTCTTTTAAATTTCAAGGTAGACGATAAGTGTACTTTAACAATTTTTATAAAAAATAATCTGCTTTACAATTTATAAGAAAAAAGTAGTTTTAAAATGAAAAATAAAAAGAAATTTTTCCTTTATAAACACATAAGTACAAAACACTCGTTAGATATTGAATAAAAAAAATCTAAGTATTTGAAAATACAGTCTTTAAGTAGATAAATATGTAGGTATTAAATTTTATTGTATAGAAAAATATTTAAAATATCTAAAGTAAGAAATGAGAGTGAGCAATAAAAATGAGAGATATAATTGATGAATCATCATAAAATAAATATCTGACAAATAAACCTAATTGACTTTTGCAGTTCAAATTCATGTTTAAAAATATAATTAAAAAAGAAGTACCTAGAAGCATTTACCAATTTTTCTCTTACACTCTGTATTAATAGAAACGAATCGCAACTCCACAGTCGCAGTGCGTACACTACCTATATGGTTTGATTTTTTTTAGTTCAACTTTAACTTTGCCGCTAGATATATTGTATATAATGATGAACGTTTAAAAAAATAAAAAATAAAATACAACGAAGATTAGCAAGTAGTGAGTGTCTAAATATTTTTATGAGTAACAATTTCACAAAGAATTCACATAGTATACTGATATATATTTTATAATCATTAGATATAGTCTAAAAACTAAACCCTGTACGAAAAACTTGGATACCACTGCAGAAATTGTTTGTTACCTGTACCCACCAAAGGTTTTCCGGTTAAAACTGAAATAAGTTTATCTATATACTCGTACATGGCCTAAGTATATTTTAATAATTTTATATTAATTGTATTTTACTTTTTTAACACTTCAACGGCAAGTTTAAAAAAATGAAACCTTTATTATACATGAATATCAAATCAATTTTTCTTTAATGAAATTCTAACTATTTAAATTATTAAGTCTCGACAATTACAATTATAACAAAAACATAGTTAACTGAGAAAGATCAAAAAAAAATAAAACATAGAGCACATGCTATTAAATTCTTAGGTCTGTAGGTATGCAGTATAAAATTAAGGATATGTTTTATTATAATTACATTATTGGATGATCAATTCGATTATAATTTGTAGTATAAATATACAATATACATATATATATATATAGGCAAATTGGTAAAACTGCAGCTGTCAAGATATATAAAATTAACTATACGTCGTTTATTTATGTTTGATGGGAAGGTACGCCTATTTTCCGGTCATCACGAAATAAACGTATTCATTAAGTGTGCTATATACCTAGATATTATATTATTATAAACACCATCAAAGATTTCGTTGTATGGGTATCCAATATATATTTACATGTGTTATCACAGTGTGTTTGTTATGTTTGTAAACACCTACACTATATACACATTAGTACTAAGCTATAAATATAATAAATCACTTTTTCCTACATTTAGTGAAAACGGGAAAATATATAGATTATAATATAATGCGTAATATGTACCTACATAAATACACAATATTTATAAACGTACAAGTCTAACAATAAAAATATCATACCAAATATTTATATAATATCCCGTTTTGTATAAAAGTTATATTATATAAAAAATATCTATATAATCTAGGTACTTAATATTATAATATTTTATCATTTTTGAACACCAGACTTGGGTGTCGAAAATAATACGTAGGTATTTAATAGGTAGATATTAGGTATGTACCATCATTATGTATTATATATATCATATTTTTTTTGTTTTTACATATTTACCGAATTCGAGTCACGTATACAATAATAATGGTGCAACATCGGTCAAAAAAAAAAAAGAGGAAAATGATGAAAAAATTAGTAGGTTTTTATAATAATTTTCGAATAGATCCATGTCTGATAACAGCGTGCGGTCCAACTCGATGGAGACCACGACATATTCAAAGGCAGCCGCACGTTACCAAATGAGCTGGTTATTGTAGGTATATAAGTGCTTACTTATGAAATGAGGTTATTAAACTTAACACATGCGAAAATAACAGAAAACCAGTTTCGAATCGTCTGGGAAATGATTTTTACTTCGCTTTAATGTGTGTATATCATTTATATTATGACTCTTTGGATTTATGGCATCGACGTTTTGTTTTCGTCGATCTTTATTATAAACAAACGTTTTATATTATTTATATTGTACCCAATAAAATGATCAAAATAGATTCAAACATTCACTACATGTTATATACCTGCCTATTGATAAATTATAAAAAAACGGCAATTTTTTTTTCTCTAACGTTTAATAATATTATTTATAACATATAATAATACTTATAATAATACTATTTAAACATTTTAATTATAAACCACATACACATAATTTTCACTATATATCTAGTCTAGGTATATAAAACGTAGATAAAATGAAACTTTAATAAAATTATATTTTAACTATATTTTGATGAAGCTGATTGGAATAATTGTGAATGGCAGTTGTTCTTTTGAGACCGACAACGAATACCATTTATAAAATGTTATTAGTTATTTCTACATAAATACGTTTACTTATATTATTATTGAAAAATACATTTTACTAATAAGACTTCAAGAAAATTAAATTTCAAATACATAATAAGATTAAAGAGAGAAATTTAACTGAAAAATGAGTTTAACTTAGATCTGCGAAGAATTGTATTACTTGTTTTAAATATCATTAAGTACGTAATTCGTTTCAATTAATAATTTGATAAGTGTTATATCATTTTCAACATTCAGACCAAGAACTTTTCTTAGGATATTGGAAACATTCAAGGTTTGTCAGTCCTCTAAATAAAGCAAGGAATTATTTTATGGCGATTTGAATATTGCCCGTAAATAGATTTTATACATTTAGAACACTTCCTTGTTAATTTTTTTTTTCTATTCGAATATGCGGAACACTATAACGTAACTTTCAATTTTATTTAACTATTTATCCTACTAATAAATTTTAACTACTGACTACTATTATTGTCAATTATTTTATTTATTATAATTATGTGTATTTTTTCTTAATTAATTAAAAATTATGAGATACTATTATACTAAACAAACTTGAAATACACAATTTGTCTTCACGTAAATACCTAATATTGGGCTTTAAAAATTAAGATAAAAATTTAAATTTTATTTAGATTATAGATACATAAAATTAAAACTAAATTATTACTTTTATGATAATAATTTAAATTGCTAAATTAGAGTTATAATCATATATCATAAAGAATAAATAAAAAAAAAATATTTGTACATATTTGTTTATATTTTTTAGTAGTGTATAACTTATGATTTTTTTTTACAAATTTTAAAGATTCAATTTTGTTATTTGATTTAATTAAAATACCAATTATATTTTGATTAATAATCTATCCATAAAATAACTTACTACTTTTATTCTTAAAAATATCCGTTAATAATATATTAATATATATATTTTAAAACATTGTTTAATTGTGAAACTCAAAATATTAAACATTTGTATAGGTAATAATTACTTTACGTATATTAGGTTATTAAAAAGGTAATTTTTTTGCGCTTTTAAGTTGCGTTTGAATCATATTTTGTATTAATATATGGGTATTAGCTGCATTGTTTTGTATTAAAATAATATCAGTAAAATTCAAAATTCAATTATCTTTTTGCATCACTGCAAAACGTTATTATACTGTCACATAAAACCAAAACATCCTTAAATAAAAATATATACCAATATAGTAAAATTTTCTCAAAAATAATACTGTTCTAATATTATTATCCAGTGTTAAATTTTTATGATTGTTTCGGTCGTTTTCGGTTAGACGTCGCTTAAAACAATTACTGAATCTAACATTTTTGTCACCAATATTTATTTTTTTTCATATTAAATTAATTAATGAATAAGCATCTTTCTTTTAATAAATACAAGTGCAATATTATACCAAGAAAATATCTTTTAATAAAACACGTTAGCATTTTTCAGTTGTTTGTGTTTTAGATTTAATGGTGATTGATGTATACGCTATATTGTACGAAAGCAAGCATAATAGAGAGCGATTGTGGATAAATACTGGTGTAGAAAATAAATACGTGATGCGTATCCAGTAAAGAATTTTGCCATATTTTACCGAGCCCCATTTCGTTTCCGACACAACAATAATTGATCCTCTCAATATACTTCGTTTTTTCTGAGAAGAAACCTTTTATACAAACGTATACCTGCCGATTTTACTGCGTAAACACGTACACGGGCGTCCTTTTTATTAAAATACAATGTAAACCTAATGGTTAAATGGGGAATACGATCTTGCACGTCTATGAACACCCTAGCCATCAATAATTTATTTTAAAAACAGAATATAAAAATAATAAATATTATAAAAATATATTCCCAATTTGCTTTATTATATTGTATTTATCGCAAAATATTAAAAAAAAAAAAAAAAAATATATAAAGCAACCGCACGAATAATTTTTCCGGATAAAAAATAAAACTATACGCCTAATAAATAAAAATAATCTCAAGTATTGACCAAGTAAGCTATTTTTTTATAAATATATACTATATTTTTTATAATATTAATCTGTCACCATAAATAAATTGTTTTGAGATTAAATATATTTTTAGTATAAATTACTTACGTTTAAATGTTCATCATCTTCCAAGAAAAACTGCAATCACACTGTTTCAAAACAAATAATAAAAATTAACACATAAAATAATATATTTTATTACGAAGCGTATAATTAAAAAAAAGTTATAAAAACATAATATTATATTATAATAAAATATATTAACCGATAAACAATAAAAATTAAAAAAACACACACCGAAAACACTATAAGCCCCAATTAATGAATGTGCACTGGGGAAACGTCGAAAAAAAATTATCGAACTATCCGAGACGCGAGCGAGGTACGGAGATAATATACGGATTCGCACTGGATTTTTGAACTGCGGCGCATGAAGCCAGAATGAGCGGCAGGATCCCGGCGCCGAGTGCCGGCTACCCGGTCGACACCCCACCAACACCCGATGCACACGTGACGATTTCTAATAAAAATTCGTTTTTTTTTTTTATGTATACATTTTACATTTTCAGGTGCGCTTTATGCACACACACATACACACAACTATCGGTAGTCGGTCGTCGGATCTACTATCGACGCGATCGCATTCGATTCACGAAAACGAAAAACTATACATTATTATAATATTCCCAGCTCGGCTAATTAATTTTTCACGGCAATCGTTGTTCAAATACAGGTACCTACCTAAATAAAAACATTATTATTATAATGTTATATTATCGTGTCCCGTATTCCACACAATATTATATTATATAGTAATACGTGCGTCGTGAATCATACATTAGTACAGACTACTACGGAGTGGCCAATACGTTTAACTTTAACGTAAATTTACCTACATTTATTCTTAGATTTAACGATTCAATTATTTTTAAACGTCCTCTACTGCAGTGTATTTACTTACAATTTAATTGTTGTCAAATGACACGTTATTAGTGCACCAATGTGTAAAGTCTTCAAAATAACTTTCGATTCTGCAATTCTATATTATATAATTACACATGAAATACAAATCGAAGTGCTTTTAAATCTTATTCACCTAAACCTAACGAATATAATTATTAAGTAGGAAAGTGCTTATCATCATACAGCTGTATCCCAGTATGTGTTCATATTTTGTATTGAAGTTTGTCAATTAGATGAAGTTAAATAGTCATTACACGAAATATTGTTATGCAATTAAATAATATAATATGTATTTTATTAAAATTGGAAATTCATAAATTTCATATATCATAAAAAATGAAATATTACATATTTATACGTCAAGAATAGGTCGTGAATAGTGCAGCTACGTGTTAAAATATTATAATATATATTATAAGTACAATAAATCTTTCTAACAAATTACTGAATTTTTTTAGGATTATATTATATTGAAATATACATGGAACATGATGAAATACGTCACCACAAACTATGTATTATAATTGAATATAATCACAATAAAACAAAATCGTTTACCTTGATCGTTGTACTTTTAAATAACGTTATTGTTAAATAAAATTGTTCAAAAATTGAAATCATTTTATAATAAAATTACATTAGAGCAATATCGTTTTCTTGTGGCCGCCCCAGTACAATTTTATGCTTATTGGATAAATCAACACATATAAGTATACTTTCAATTACCTACCATTAATATAAAAAACTTAATGATGAATAATAAATTAGTTGATATAAATAACACATACGCCCACGTTTTCATGCGTGTAGGCGTTGAAAGTATAAGTTACATATCAATTCGCAGACACCAAAATATATAACTATTTTTTAATTAGAAAAAACATTTTAGCGAATACATTCTTACAAATTGTTTTTACTTATTTGAATATCAACCAGTTCGTAAGTCTTCTTTTAAACCAGTTTGTGTTACCCCACTATAGAATATTTACATTTTTGCGTTATTTTATAATTATTGCCATTTTGACCTTCCGATAAAGTGATGCGATTCTACCGGAGCCACTTGTCACAGACATGTTGTTCGTTAATGACAAGCAACATCATGTGCTAATAATTTTGAAACATATGTAATAGTGTTTGAAAAAATGTATGAATGCCTAACTACGAATTCATTTCAAAATCATATTGTTCCTAAAAACTTAATACGATTATACAGTTTATACAGAAATACCGAAACAAGTAGGTATATACTACAAGAGTAATAAAAATAGTAAATAATAATTAGATAGGTACATTAGGTACAATTATTTTAAACTTGACTAGAATTACTAAAAAAAAAAAGTTAGAACGGTAAATTGTAATAGTTTATCAAACAAGAAACTATTTCTACCTATTTCAAAATTGCATCGTCTACGTAAATAATTACAAAACATTATTAAAAACTTTTTTAAATATATATTAAATAAACATGAAATGTGTAAAGTATAAATATAATTAAAAACTGAAAATTGAAAAAAAAAATATTCTATTGATTACTGATGTATAATATATTTCTCGATAAGTTACTAATGAGCAAATAAAATAAAACAAATATAGAAATTATTATTATGAATCATTGCTTCAATTCTTTATTTGTTTTGAAACATAAATATGAATGTAGGTATGTTATATAATAAATAAAATATGATTTTACTATAAACATCATAATTTTTAAAATAAACTCAAATTTTCATACGTTAAATGAATCTTAACTTTCCTAGCATTCTAAAATTACCATGATATAATTTGTTAATAATCATATCAACTTTGTCTTTTGGTTTCAAACATCTAATATAGTTCATTTTTTTTTCACTTTTATAATAACATAATATATTAATTTCAAAAACGTATTACGGTTAATATTGCAGTATAGCTTAATATTATACATTTTATTCGTATTGACTATTGAGTTATATAAGGTGGCTAACGTATCAAATAAAATGAGTATAATATATTGTATTATATAAGATCTCACATGTTTATACATCATATGAATACAAAAGAAAATCTCTTGAATGAATATTTACTTTAAAAATAAATAATATAATTTCCATTAATAAGAAGCCGAATTTATTTGTAGTTCAAGTTTAAGTATTAGAATTTAAAAAAATTAATAAAAAATTGTTAATTTAATAATAAAATGATTATTAAATTCATTTAATATAATATATACACCATTTATTGAAATACGAATAAAAAATATAGTAGGTATTTTAATAATTTTATTTTAACTATACTTACAACAAAATAATATCATTTCTATCCAATATTGCAAATAAATCTATGTATTTATCTATTTAATAATACTAAATAGGAACAATAAATATACATAGAATACCAAAGATTAGGTTATTTTACTATTACTACTTACTATACACTTGACGAAAATCACTCGTGTAGGTACCTACATATAAATAATACTATTGTGTAATAACATCACTAATCATTTGTGATTTATATTACTTATGTCACCTTCTACAACATAATATTTTATTATTCTGCATTTAGGTTGGTATGCGCTTTAGAATTACTGTCAAGAATCTCGAAAAAACTTATAAATAAAATTTCCTAATGGTTTTTATTTTAAAAATTATTGTTTAGCAATATTAAAGTTTCCATTTTTTTTTTTTTTTTTTGTTTTTTGTTATCGACTAACTAATCTAAACCTTTTTAATGACACAATACATTGAAAATTTCGTAAAATACAATTATCTGTTCATATTTTTTTCAGAGATACCGAAAAAATAATAATGTCATTATACAAGTTTATTGTTATCAACATCATTATACTGCAGGCATTTAAACGCTAGAAGTACATTAAAAGGACATTTAATCATATTATATATGCAATATGTAAACGTTGGAAATGACATTCATGAAAAGTTATGTGAGTTCACAGGAAACAATAAAAATATTACACTTCTTGGCGTCCTTTAAACAATGTGTGTTATTTAATCATGTACAGTAAAACATATAGTAAAAAGTCTAAATCATTTTTACGTTATTTTTTAATCTTGTATTATTCTTATTATAATAATATTAATATGATTGATGTATTTAACATTTTTTTTAAAAACCTTTTTCCAGACCAGAAATAACTGTATGTAGGCAATAAAACATTTCCGGCACAGTCTCCAAATTACATTAAAAACAGACAAGTCCATCCAGTTCAAGTAACATTTCATAATAGACGAAACGATGTGTTATAATAAACATGACGTTGAGATCTCTGTTGCAACTGCTATGATATTCTATTGATATATATGATAGACACTGCACTACTACAATAACATACTGCAGAAGTTCAATAATGCAACTTGCAATTTGCAAAGTCCTATCTATATCAATCATTGTTTATTAAATAATTAAAAAAATTATGTTTCTTGAACTCTTAAATCTTAATGTTTTCTGTGTTTGTGTTTTGATGATTTAGCTATTTAGTAATTTAAATACATATATATTCTAATGATTTGAGTTTTATAAGATATGTACTAAATAAAATTAGAATTTAAATTATAAACGATATTTAATTAGATACTCAATAAGCAGTACACTTTAACTAATAGATAGAATTTATATTTTATACAACACGATTTAAAAAGTATACTTAAAATGCCATAATATAATATATATAAATATACAAGAACAATTTTTTGTTATTAAATTATATTAAATATAAATATTTAAATTTATAAATAAATTAGCAAGTGATAATTGATAAAGATAACCAAAATAGATGTCTATTTTATTCTGTTATACCTATTTCTTGACATTTAATAAAAATATTCAAATGCTAATTTTCCTGTCTCCTATTACAATTTATTAAATATAAAGTCACTAGTAATGTTTGTCATAAACACTAATTAAATCACCACATTAAAAAATAAGAAATATAAATGACAAAAACCACTTATCATTTTGATACCTATACATACTTTATATCTGTTGCAAAATTAAAAAAAAAAATTACCATTTTAGTTAAATTCGATTAATATTATTATTATTATTATTATTATTATTATTCACAGATCAATCATTTATTAACCTTATAACAAAACCATAAGTATTAGGTACATCTCCATGTATACCCTCTTTTATCATTTAAATATTAATAATTGTTAAATTAATATTAATTAATTAATTATTCCCGATATTTATTTAGTCGTTTATTAATGTAGAAATTATAAAATATAAAAAATAATAAAGAAAACATTTACATTTTTATTCGA